AGCAACCCAGCCGAGCAACCCAGCCGAGCAACCCAGCCGAGCAACCCAGCCGAGCAACCCAGCCGAGCAACCCAGCCGAGCAACCCAGCCATCTAGATACCCATACGATACTGTCATGTTTCATCCGTTGCGTACCCTGCTATCACGTGTACCACGACATCCAAGTCCGGAACAAACCCAATTGGTTGCGTTTTGGAGCTCTGCCCGGGCAAAAACAGCGCGGTGCATGGCTTCTGTGGAGTCGAAGCGATTTGAACCTACATGGAGAGTGGTTTGGGGCAAATTTCTTAAGAGAAGCGCATGGCAACAGACTATGAAGAAATACAACTTGGTAGTCGGAATCGTCGGTTGGGATTTGCAGTCTGTCGCTATGGACGACGTAAAGATGGACAAGCTCGTTGCGCTCCTCCTCCCAGGCGAGGCTCAGGTACCCGCAGGACTTAGGGAAGACTTCTTGAAGTGTCTTCGGCCGCACGTGGAGAAGAAAAAAGACGAGCTCTACTTTCCAGAATGGAGGCTGACCCTTAATATCTCATCCCTCCGTGGCGGAGATCGAATCGTTATCAGTCGCCCCCATCTTTTATTCTCTCTCCAGGACTCGCTCCAAGGCGCCTTGAAAACCGCCTTTCTATTTTATGATGGGGGGCCAACGCTATGGGAAATTGGTGGTGGCCACATCGGCGGGCTATGTGATAGCGGTCGAACACCGAGAACGACCAGCGAGGTGAAGGACGTGTGTTCCATTCTGCTGTACGGGAAAGCGGGCCGAATGCGTTATCATAGGTTTCAGCGACCAGGCTGTCCAGCTGTGCGAGAGTTTGTCTCTATGGATGACGGGCTTCCTATCGGACCTTGGAGGTTTGAAAGGCCCAACGCGTTAGCTTGAAGCAATCAGCTGAAAGGGGCACATGTTTAGGTTAGCTCACATAGCGGAGGGTCTTAAAGCGCAGTGTTCCGACTTGACATGCGACCGCATGCGCCTCTCACGTGCACTTCACTTTTCCACCTATCATGGCCAGAACAGCAGGACCATGTGCCATACTTCGTAGTCGCTCATAGTCGACTACTCACAATCACTCTACTATATAGGAAGCCAAGCTTCAATCGAAGGTCACACTTACACCAGAAACAAGTTCCTCAGCATAATTGTCTGTGTGTGCCACAGGCATGACAATGTTCGTGGACGTCTGTCACCACCGTACCAGGGCAATTCGTGTCTTGCGGGGGGCACGTTGTTGTGATGGAGTCGACCGTGGAAAAGAAAGGCACCTCAATTTCGGAAAGGCTGCTGCGTGAGGAGAATATTCGGCTTCTGGAAGAAACTAGATTCTGCATCGATCATGATTACATATTCAAATGTGAAGCTAAGGCAGCTTACGGTGTGATCGTCCGATGGCCTTCTTCGGATCGTAAGTGAGCGTTCTCGAAGAATAATGAAACATCCAAAAATGACCACAGGACCCAGCTTGGATATGGTATTGCCATGTATTTGAAGAAGATCATCGTCTCCAGCGTAAGCAATCTGGATGGGAAGGTCGCAGTGGAGCACGAGCCTATGGGATCGGATCAAGTACGTGTAACGGCTACGCCTAAGCCGTTGCGCCATGGGCAAAAGATCAGGCATTGATCGAATGACGAGCGATCGATACAGGCGTAATAGCTACTTATAGGGGGTTACGGGGGAACAGGCCGTAACAGTACGGGGCGAAACGTATGGATTCGTGCCCCTGAACGGGAATAATTCTGACCACCCAAAGGATAGCTGAGGTCTTGTAAAGGCGTCCCACTTGAGCGAGGGATGCTAGTTGGAAAGGGCAGCAACAGAATCTCACGAACATTGGCACGGCCACCATGAAGCTCAGGCAGTGGTACGCGTTAGGGGAGGAAAGGATGGGTGTAGAGGACATCACTGGTTGGCAAGAGTCGAGCATCCTTGACTTTCAATCTGCTATCACTTCATGCGACAGGCTGGTCGACTGGTGGGCTATTACCAGTCGTCTCAATCGCAGACGTGCGGGGCTGACACGAACAGAACATTGTCCTCATACCGATCTGGGAGAAGGAGTCTCGGTGGCCGAAAGAGATCCTCTGCGATCTCTTCCACACGGCTCAGCTGTCAGTGCGGAGGTAAATAACACTACAAGCCGTAATGAGGCAAATTGTTCCAACTTCTAGTAAAGTAGTCTGGACATAGGTCAAGCAAGGTAATCCTGCGACCGCGCGTCTGTTCTCTTCTGTAGTTTGGTTGATATCGAAGTTACTCCTCGATGATCTTGATATGCTTTTCGTAAAATCGGAGCATCTGTCTTGGTCAGCAGCAGTGCTATCAGCGTGCCATTGGCCGTCACATCCTCACCTTCTGGGGACAATTTTTGTACAAGACTGATGCGTCATGCCTCGTCCTATGGCCGGTTTCCCAGGAGACAGACGGCAAGCCTGCCACTCTCCACTTCACAACCGTCAATGGATGCAATCTCTTTCTCCCATGAGCGTTCTGGAGGACTCCATTCAGTCGACTTGGCGAGAGCCGCAGTCTTGGATCGCGGAGACCTCCGGGCTGGGACAAGGGTGAGTTGCTCTTCTTCCCGCGCAGTCCTCGCCGGACTTTGTCTGCATGTTTTTTGAACAGCCTGTCGCGTCCGCCTAGACGGACGAGATACTCTTCCAACGCAGGCGAGTCCCTAGCACGTCAGTTCAGTATCCTTGCGCAAGCCTGTAATGCAAGCTCACTCTAGCCCATCTTCAACCTCCCAAGTCTTGAGAGACGTTCCGTTCGAGTCCTTCCATTGGACCAATAATTCGACAGATCCCTGCGTAGTCAGTGATGCCAACAAGATGCCATGGCCCAAACACACATTCTCGTTGATCTTGTGATAGCGATCTGGGAGATGACGTAGTGGTGCTGGACTTGCTGCAACGAGGGTGAACTTTCACCATCGAAAAGTCAACTCTTTTCTATAGATCGGTAACAGCAGCATCATATGCTGCTAGAATGGGTGTATAGAGTTGATCTGGGTCTCCTGCAGGGGTTCCAAAGCTCATCCTTTCATCTTCGTCCAAGGGGAAGAGGATCTTCCTAATCCTCAGACAGAGCGGCTTAACAGCATCTAACGACTCTGGGAATTCGCCCATGATGCCTTCTAGCCTGTTCACAGTCATGTCACCTTCTTTAGCAGCTGCAATATACTTGAAGCTGCCGATTTCCCATCGTCGAAGAAGGCTCTCCTTAGGCGGCTTCTCGTCGCCAGCAAATCCATTACTCCATGACTGGCGCGCGCACAGCCATATCAAAACGTAGAAGAACGACTCCAGGTCATGGCGGTAGGTGTGGTCGACCATGCGCAGCACCTCCACTGCCATGAACTGCATTGTGCCCGTCTGGTGCCGCGCTCCGCTCGGACCGCTGTCTCTCACCTTCGCCAAGTCAAGGTCGATGAGCATGCCCTTGAAGCCAGCAGCCATCTCGGGCTTCGTAATAATGATGTTGTTCGATGAAATGTCGCGGTGAAGAATGTTGCCAGTGACGTATAGAGACTGATGAGCCTTGATCGCATCTTGCATCGACTCCAGCAGTTCCTTGATGGTTCTAAAGTCGCTAATAACACGACCGGCCGGCGACACCACGAGGCAGGAATATATCCTATTTTCCCACAGGTCGTCTCCAGGCGTATACAAACTCGGCTTGGCTCTGCCTATAGACAGCTGGCCATTTGGTTTTCGGACCAGCTTCGACTTCTGACTGTTGGACCGCCGCCTCTTGGATCCGGACGCGTCCTCAGATGTGTGGTCGGACGAGGACTTGCGCTTTTGGCCTGACGAGTTCGTGCTTGTGGTGGCTGAGGGGGTTTCATCAAAGTGGACGTCTTCGTTCCGGAACCGATGACGTTCCGGAAACTTCAAGCCCTTGCGTAACTCTACAATGGTAGTGATTTGACGATGCGCCACTACTTTGGCCACTCCCTTGACGTCCCGTTCTTCTGCTAGCTTTAGCTGTTCCACCTCCAGCTTCCGCTTATCCGATGCCCACGAGAATTTCGCAACGTGGCTATTTCGGGTCTCAAAGCACGTAGTCCCTCGACAAACGACGGCCTTCTGCATGACTATGGGGCCCCTCAGCCTGATCCTCGATTCGTTGCCACTTAGGTCGTCCAGTATGACATAGCGATGCCCATCCTGTCGTTCGATGAATGTGTCCAAGCCCATCGCATCGTCGTCCATTGTGGCATACCCAACAATAGCGCGCGCAAATTTATCCGGCTCGTCATGAATGTTGAATGGCCCCGAGCTGTACGGCCCAGAGCGATCGAAGACCCAGAGCTCCATCGTGGACGCGCAGAGGGAGAACGCGTGGACAAATCGGCGCGTCGGCTGGTCGGCGAAGACGCCTCGCACATAGCGCGTAATCTGAAGAAGGTCCGCCTTGAATCTGCCCGTATCGTATGACCTTTCCACAATAGTCTGCTGCCTCTTATTCGTGGCGAAAACGCAAGACCAATCGTCTTCATCGCTCACAGTCTAGGGGGGCTCATCGTCAAGCAGGTCTGTCTTGTTTTCTGAACGTTCCCTGGGCGCTTTGCATGATCACATTAGCTGACGCACGAAACAGACCCTAATCTCCCTGGCGGGGTCGGAAAGCCTAGACGATCAGAGACTTCTTAAAACAGTAACGTGATTGATAAGCGAATGTCCCAGACAAGCGAATGTCCCACAAATCGATCCTCCCACACTATCATCATTTGA